GGGTTAATATTTCTTTGTTCTGTTATTCTAAGAAGATAATTTTTAGCTGTAAGTATAGTGATGCTAAGGTATAATATTGAGAAAAGAAGCCAGACACAAAAGAATGCATACTGTATGGTTGTATTTGTCCACAATTAAAAGAGAGGCAGGACTGATCTTTGGTGATAAAAATCAGAGTAGTGGTTATTTCTTGGGTTTGGGAGGGTGGGATTGACTGGGAAAGGGCATATGGAAACATTCTAGTGAGTTTAAAATGTTCCACGTTTTCATCTGAGTGGTGGTTTATGTGGGTACATAGATATGTAAAAATTGATCAAGATGAACACTTGAGATATTTACACTTTGCTATATTTTTACTTGAATAAAAATAAGAATAGTGTTGCTGTGAACATTGTATTTTTTTCTCTTATCATTTGTGCTTATTATATAAGGATTTGTTTCTAGAAGTAAAAAGCCTGATTGAAGGATATTATTCTATATCACATTACAGACTGACACGTTGTTGTATAGGGTTGAACAATATGCTTGATATACACTTAGTTTGATTATATTTCAGTACTTGAATATTTGTAAACCTTGTACTCATAATAAGCAGTTTAACTGTAGCTAATTTTATTTATTTTTTATTTTTATTTATTTTTATTTTTGCAGTTTTTGGCTGGGGCTGGGTTTGAACCCGCTACCTCTGGCATATGGGGCCAGTGCCCTACTCCTTTGAGCCACAGGTGCCACCCCTATTTTTTATTATTTTATTTTATTTTTTTAGACAGAGTCTCATTTTGTTGTCCTTGGTAAAGTATCATGGTGTCATAGTGCACACTAATTTTAAACTCTTGGGCTCAAGAGATCCTCTTGCCTCAGTTTTTCATTTTTAGTAGTGATGGGGGTGGGGTGGGGTGTGTGTCTCACTCTTTTTCAGGCTGGTCTCGAACTCGTGAGCTCCAGCGATCCACTTGCCTGGGCCTCACAGAGTGCTAGAATTACAGGTGTGAGCCACTGTATCCAGCCTTAATTGTAGTTAATTTTAAATGTAATTCATAAGAGCTGGACAACAGTTGCTCAGACATGCAAATTGATACCTGTCATTGAACCTGATTTAATATGAGGGAATTTTCGTTTGTACCTTTTTTTTTTTTGGTAGAGGCAGAGTCTCACTTTATCGCCCTTGGTAGAGTGCCATGGCATCATGCTGCTCACAGCAACCTCCCAACTCCTGGGCTTAGGCAATTCTCTTCCTTCAGCCTCCCGAGTAGCTGGGACTACAGGTGGTTGCCGCAACACCCAGCTATTTTTTTGTTGCAGTTCAGCTGGGGCCGGATTTGAACTCACCACCCTCCGTATATGGGGCCGGCGCCCTACCCACTGAGCCACAAGTGCCACCCCCCTTTGTACTTTTTACTTTTGTCTTTTACTTATTCAGGTAGTGTTAGTCTAAAAGGTTTTAGCAGTTTCTAGTAGTGATCTCATTGTTGGGACTAAATCACCTCATATTTCTGTGTTTCAGTGTAGTATACGCATTATTATTGCCATCATATTATTTTGCTGATTTGCTCATTTTTTTAGTGCCGAAGCTTCTCCTGCGGAATGTTGCCAACATGCCAAGATTTTGGAAGATACACAGTTTGTTGATGGATATAAGCAGTTGGGATTTCAGGAGACTGCTTATGGAGAATTCTTAAGTCGATTAAGGGAAAATCCTCGTCTTATTGCCTCTTCTTTGGTTGCTGGAGAGAAGCTTAATCAGGAGAATACACAAAGTGTTATTTACACAGTTTTTACCTCCCTGTATGGCAACTGCATTATGCAAGAAGATGAAAGCTACCTCCTTCAGGTTTTGCGATACTTGATTGAATTTGAACTTAAGGAAAGTGACAACCCCAGGCGACTTTTGAGGAGAGGAACTTGTGCCTTCAGTATCTTATTTAAACTTTTTTCTGAAGGACTGTTTTCTGCCAAACTGTTCCTCACAGCTACTTTACATGAGCCAATCATGCAGCTGCTTGTTGAAGATGAAGATCACTTGGAAACAGATCCAAACAAGCTAATTGAGAGGTTCTCCCCATCTCAACAGGAAAAACTCTTCGGGGAGAAAGGGTCAGATAGATTTAGGCAAAAGGTTCAAGAGATGGTAGAGTCCAATGAAGCCAAACTAGTGGCTTTGGTGAACAAATTTATTGGTTATCTGAAACAGAACACATACTGCTTTCCACATAGTTTGAGGTGGATCGTATCACAGATGTACAAAACTCTCTCCTGTGTAGATAGACTGGAAGTTGGGGAGGTCAGGGCAATGTGTACTGATCTCTTGTTGGCCTGCTTCATTTGTCCTGCAGTGGTCAATCCAGAGCAGTATGGAATAATTTCTGACGCTCCTATTAATGAAGTGGCACGATTTAATCTGATGCAGGTACGCTTTTGGTGTTATTATTAATGTGACATTTACTTTAAAATCAGTTGGTTGGGTTTTAGGGGTGGGAACAAAAAATATGATAACAGTGTTGATATATTCTTAACTGTTCTTTTTTCTCAAACTGTCTTAAATATTTGCTTCTTATGAAATTAAAGCAATCATATTGGGATTTTAAATTATGATAGTCATAAAACACTTTC